TGGATTGTTGTGGGCAATCAGTAGAGATGGACAGCCCCAGTTATTGATCCTTCCCTAAATGTTTTTATCTACGTGAAATTCTTGACCATGGGAAACATTGAGTCAAAGATTTATATTGAGTACAGGTACAGTAAGCAGGATCAGGCTTTTCAACAGGGAACATCCTAAATGCAAGGGGGATTACCTGATTCTTGATTATTGACTCCACTATTTCAGGTCCTAAAGTATAGTAGGTCATATCCCAGCTACAGATCATGCCAGTGAAATTTCATCTGAACTTATACAATATATTTATGGCTCTTGGGCCATTAAATATCTACAAAAATGGCAATCTACACAAAATCTACCAAGGAGTTCTGGTTCCCTCAACAACACATCTGATCTCAGAATTTTCCAACATCTGTGTTTCCATTTGGAAAGTGCGCATCCAAATGTATAGTCTAGTATGCTCCTTTCATCCATCAAGACAATTAGCATCTGTAAGTCCTCTTGACTTCTGCACAAAAAAGTTACCTTCTCAGTCACTAAATCTTAAGCACAGGAACCCTTCTAAGTTTGCAGAACACCCGAAAGGAATCTTACATTGATCACCAGGAAAGAATATGTAAGTAGCTTCAACCTCATTAGAAATTTTCAGAGGCCCATAGCCAGATCTTATTCCATGCAGTACAGTTCTTGCTCATGAACACTGTACTTGGAATTACATACAAAACACTACTTTTAGCCTCTATCTAGTTTTAAAATAAATTTCATCCCCTCTTCTGGAAGGTGGTACTGGAAGTCGTGTAAAACCTCATACAGCATATGCAGGTACAAGGTAAACTCCGTATCTGTTTATATCTAAAAGCTTAAGGGAAAATAGAGTTTGTATACCATTCTAATAGATTCCAAAAAGAATTATTTGTTGATAATTGTCTGTACTTTTTCAGAACAGCATCTTACCCATCACTGTGGATGCCACTGTAGCAAAGAACCTGTTAACTTTTTTAAATTGTTTTTTGATAAATGGGGTTTGCTTCTCTCATAAGATTCTAGCATGGGTACTTATTTCAGCAGTCAGATGCCATATTTACAAAAGTATGATTATAAAATTACAGATCCACATACCAAATCCACAAAATTCAGTCTGTATATAGAGGTGGAACAAAGACATTAAAATTCAGTTGGCCAAAAATACTGCAAATACTGGTTTCTCATGGCCAGATGTCATCCCACATATGGAAATTTTCATAGGCAAAACTATTCCTAACAGAAAACATGATCTTTCTCCTTTTGAAATTGTGAATGGTTGACCAATGCTAGGAAAAACTAGCTCCAATTGGCTTATTTCAAAAGAAAATTTTGCTAGTCTGGATGAAGATCTAATAAAGCACTTTCTGTCCCTTACTAAATTATTTCTATTTCCACCATGGTGAAACTGGCATCCTCATCTCCTAACTTAGCAGTATTCTCCTGCATGAAAACTGGGGAAACAATTGTCTGTCATCACAGGGGACAGGACCACACTAAAATGTTTGGATAATTCACATTGCTCTGAAATGCAAGAATTAAACTACTTGGACATACACATCCCATTGCTGGAAAGTAACTCCTTTGGAGGATCTGCTTTCTAACAAGTAGTTTACTACCACTCTTCCAAAAGTGAAGTGAAGAAAAACCAGTTGAAATACGATCAGGTTAACAATCATCATCATTATTGGACAATATGAACTTTGAGCAGTGCACTCTGAAAGCCTCTGCTCCAGCATTATACTGTTTCTGCCCTGAAATTCGTTCACATCTACTGATATTAAATCATTGTTGGCTGAAATTCTTTCACATATACTTGTATTAAACGACTGTTGGCTTTGTACTCTTCTTGATCATTTGCAATTGGCAGGAGATACATTTGGGAGTAAAATAATCGACAATCCTTGCTTATCAATAGCCTTCTACAGCAACATTTGAAGTTATAATGGTGTTAAAGAAATAAGTTTGTGACCAATCCTTGAAATTTATGACCACTGCAGCATCCTGTCACCTGATCACTATCTGCATGCTTCATAACCTGCTTGCAATGAGCAGAGTTTATACAGCAGGCAGAAATAAAATCATATATGATCATGATTTTGCACTTAGCAAACACTAAGTGTTTAGCAAACTCTAACCCTAGCTCTTAACAACCCTGACCGCTAACCCTAAGTTGTAAGTCTATCACAGTCATGTGATTTTGTGCTTAGCGATAGGGTTGTTGGTCTTAATTGTTGTTAATCAAGGACTAACTGTATGCATTATGAAACAATGGAAATGTTAAATGGAAGCCATCTATTATCAGTACTTGTAAAGCTTTTGTATCACAGAATTTTCAGGGTATGAATCACTAATGTTAATCTGCATTTCTTAACCCCTTTTTCTTTTCCTGATTTGGTGTGTGCATTTATTTAACAGAACCAAATGGAGTGGTAAAACAACATGTGGGAACATTCTTAATATCTGAATATTTCTTGATATCTGAACATTCTGTTTGAGATAAGGGACTATGGGGTCTAAGAAAACCTTTTGTTTTGGAAGAAACAAAGATTTCCCCCAAGTAGCACACAAGATTTATCTCTGACTTTACTCAACTAAATGAAAACTAAAGAGCTGGAGATGAAACCGTTTATATAAGGTTAGGCAAATAAAAATATGATTAACCAGCATGATTTAAACATACACGTGAATGTTTTTTGTGGTGGATGCATATATGGGGCAGTTTTTATGTAGTAACAGTGTAGAACTAAAAAAGCTATGATTATTGACAAGAGTATTTTAGTACATAGTTCCTTTCTAAAGAATTTTTTTTGGGGGGGGGGGGGGGGCTTATCTTATATTTAGGCTTTGTTTGCCAAAGCCTTTGCTTGCCTCCCAGTATCTTTTCTGAGCTTTATCAACATTGGTTGGCCTTCTAAGTTCCTTTATCACTGAGCTGACATGGCCTATTGTTTGGGAAGGTAATTTAGGGAGAGGAATGTTTTGCTTATCCTAACCAACGCCATGTTTTCTCCTAACAATGATTCTTATGCGTAATGTAGCATGGCAAAACAAAATGAACCATGGGGATATAGTTTAATATATGAATAAGGAAATTGTGTTAGTTGATTCTCAAATTTTCCCCAAAAGGATTTATTTAGGTCTAAGAGACTTTAATTTTTTTGTAACTAAAGTAATCTCCACAATTACCCCTATCAAAAACAACAGGGAATTCAATTTCTCTGCCTTCCCTAGTAAGATCTTATTTTACCTATCAGGTCACTAGGAAATCCAAACAACTCTACAAGAATTTATCAGGATCTGTAAGATGCTTTGGACAGACCATCTTAATTGGTCTTCCACCCATGGAGGTCTTAGATTGCAACCATGTCAAATACTCAAAATAATAATTTAATGTTCAGATCACACAGCATCTGTTCTGAGGCACAGGTAACATGAAGGTTATGTTTACCTGCGTGTGTCAGGCTTACAAGTACCTGAAACAAACTCAATGTCATGGAATGCATAAACTTCTAAGTGTTCTCAGATCCATCTCCCCCAGTCTACAGGCATCAAGGTTCAATCCTCCAATAGTAAAAGTTGAGGAATCAACAAAACCCAACTAGAAACAAAGCCCAGGACCTCAGGAATGGTAGTAGGTGAAAAAAATGCTCAATTTGCAAGAACTCACATTCCATCATCCCAAATGTATAAGCTATTTATAAGCTTTTTTTAAAAAAGATTACCTCCTCAGCTCTGACATTGTGGCAGCTGTTTGACCTGAAATTTAGGGCAGCAAATCACTGTTAGCCACACTTTTGTCCAATTTCAACTACATGTCAGTAGTATGTAAAGCAAATTTATCTGCAAAGAAACATGTCAAACATAAGAACTGTGATGGGATTGTTTCATAGAAAAACTTGCTCCCACAAAGCCAACCGTTATTTTAAACAATCCGAATCTGATTCTACACCCACCCACCCAAAGCATTTTATAATTATGGAAATACAGTGAACTGCCACCTGCAATGAGTCTTCCAGTATAAGTTCCATTTAACTAAGAGGTGTGTGCTCTTACTGGCGCCATTAACTAACTTTTCCTCAGCGCCTCAGTTGAAATGGGATCATCCTTGAAGAAGCAGCCTGAGATATTTAACTCTGTTCAAGATGAATCCTTGCGGAACGTCAAAGCTTCATTAGGCTACTAGACCCAGAGGAGAGGTGAGCTATTTTGAGACTTCAGGGCTGGCCCGCTACGTTTTTTGCTTCCATATGTGATTAAAATCGGGCTCAATGACTGCGATACTCCAGGACTGCCGCCTTAGCTCAAAGGCAGCGTCCCCACTGTTCCTTCCTGGAGAACCCGTGTTAAAAGGCGGCTTCACAAGAGGGAGTTTAAAGTGCCACGAGAGAAACCCTGGATAAATGGGGATTATTTGCCTAAACGGCTGTACAGTATTCCTAAACGTGGTTATTAGGGAGGAGCTCCCACCGAAATGAGTAAGACCTGTCTTTAAATAAAGCGTCCACAACCGGCTACCGAAAGGCCTCACTTGCCCTTTTTCCACCATCAAAAAACCGCTCCCGTCCTCCCTGAGGGAGGCGCAGACCCTCTGGAAGAAGCCGCAGCTGAGCAAAAGTCGGTGGGGGGGGGGAAGGAGGGAGGAAGAAGTAGCGGGTGAATATTTCATTGGACGGCCGCCCGAGTCTAGCCCCGCCCTCTTTTAACTCAGAACTGCTCTCCGAGACGAAGCCGACCCCGCGAACAGAAAGCCAGTAAAAATCGGTTGCTGGGCAAGGTGGGGCGTGGCTGACCAATAGCGAGGAGCGCTCGAGAAGGACGAGGAAGAGTGGGCGCACACACGCCCCTCCTTCCTCTGAGACCAGGGCTATTCCTGCACGGGGGAGGAGTAACGGCTCTTGTTGTCGCCGAGCTCTGGCGGGGAGGGGGTGGGGCTCATTTGCTGCTGCCACCGCCCTCTCCTCCTCCTCTCCCCCCGCCTCCTCTCCTCCTTCCTCATCTCAGCACGCAAACCTTTGGCCATCCCAGCCCCTCTGAGGGATCCCGGCTGGCTGGGTTGGGAGCCAGCGCCGCGCCGCGCCGCCCAGCCGAGGGAGAGGGGATCCCGTGTGTCCCTCGACTCTCTCTGGAGCCCTAGCAGGTAAGCGAGACCTGGTTGAACTCGGGTCTGGATCGCGGGAACGATGGACACGGGGACAGGCGTCCGGGAAGGTGCTCCGGGAAGCTAAGTGCGGGCTGGTGGCGGTAGTGAAGGGCGAGGAAAGACTGTGCTGAGCTAAATTGAGAGGGGGAGGTCAGGAGTTACAACTAAAAGAGATCAGCATGTCGGGTATCTCGGGGAGTTGGTAAGGCAATAGAGGCTGGCGAATGTGGCGGGGGAAACTTATGATTGGGGGGTATCTCGGCCAGAAAAACTAAAGAATTGGGGGCCTGGGAGGGGCACCTTACAAACGACGGTGTGAATCGCCTGGGAGAAGCTTGCTTGGGTAAGGAAATAACTACGTTGAGCAAGTCGTCGTCATTCCCTCCCCCCTCCTCCTCTTCCAATATACACAGGCACCGTGAGCCGGGGTTGTTCCCCCACCCCCATAAACCAGATGTTTTTCAGATGTTTGGAATTATAATTGCCCTCCTTTTGGTTGTGACAATAGTGGGTTACAGATCACACTTGGAGGGCTCAGATTTGGGGAAGGAACTACAGTTATATAAGGAAGACTGGGAGGGAATGATGGATAAGAGAGCAAGATGATGGTGGGTATCAGGCTGAGATTCACAAAAGCTGCCAACAAGAGGAAATCAAGGTTTGGGGAGGGAAGGGTGTCAAAGAGTCTGCTGCTAAAAAGAGGAGAAAAAAAAGCCAAGTAGAATTAGCGGGAGGAATTGAGGAGCCCACTGAAGAGATGGCAAGGAAGAAACTGCTGGTGCTCTTGTCTAGGTGGTATTTGAATGCGAGAAACAATTTTGTGGCAGGCTTGTGGGACTGAATGAAGGCTTTAGGAAAAGTGGGTGGGGCGTGAACTGAGTAGATTTATTTGAAAGCAGTAGAGAATCAGCTGCGGTTTGTTTCTGCTTTGGTTTAGCTAGTTAGAGTCCTGTACAAAAGATATATAGATGATATATGTTACTTTTGAGGCTGTTCTTCATATTGGGAATACAATATGAAGTGGAGGGATGGAAGCTGAATCCAGCAATGGGGGAGGGGTACTTTACAAATGTTCTGTTACAATGTTTGGAGAGGTGTATCTTGGCAAAGAGATTGAGTTTAGATGGTATATTTTCAGGAAACACTCTTTTTTCTGGGTAGGAGTATAAGGGATAAAACACTGGGATTGTAGAATAGGCTTAGAGTATTGATATCTAGATATGTTTTTGGAAACATTTATATAAAGTAGCTGAATAAGATCCCATGTAAGTTGAAGTTTGATTAAAGACAGGGGAAAAGTTATTGCCAGGAAATAAATTTAGAGCTACATAAAAGGTGTGGGGTCTCTTTAATGTTAGCTTTAACCAGAGAGCTATAACTGTGGTATTCTCTGATGATCTCCATCCAAGCATTAACCAGACCACACCTGGTGTAACTTCCAAACTTAAGGTTGGCCAACTGAGAATAAAGTTATATATTTAGGTGCTTTGAAATAGGGTGAATGATAAAATACTAATGTTCCTATTATTTTTATATTGTATTTTGGAGGTGGTTGCATTAAATTCTGCTTTTGACAGAAAAGTAAAATTTAAAATAATACATAAAATTTAAAGTAATATGCAAAATGTTTCTATCCATTTGAGTATTTAGGAATACTTAATACTTTTGTTGCTCTGAAGTGATCACAAAAATGGGGATTCTGGGATGCTTTTTTGGTTATGGATGTTCACAGTTCATGAGATCTGTATCTCCAAAGTGAAGTATGTAAAAGTATGTAAAAACTGTGAACTGTATGTATGTAAACTATGTAAAAAAAACCAAGTATATAAAAACTGATTAAAATCTAGTTAATACTGCATATTTGAAGATAAGAGAATTGCATTTAATATAGAAGTTCAACACTGTAAGATACATTAAACTTGGGTAGGGCTTATTAAAATAAATTGTGGGAGGATTAGGCACAATAGAAACTGGATGACTAGAAAGCAGATGTGGAAATTATTTGAGACTAGCATATTGGGGGCATATGAATGAAAAAAACATTGAAGAATGTTCCTCAAGAATGGTCAGATCAGAGTTAAAAAATGTCAATAGGAAAAAGTGCTTCGGTTAGGATAAAGAAATTCATGTTTTGCTGGAAACTATTTTGTGATTAACTTTAAGGTGGACCTAGCTATGGAATAAAACTCTATATAATTGGATGAAGGATTTGGTGAGAAGCTTGCTATCAGCAGAAGTTTTAAGGATAAATGTTTTTATTTAAGAAATGAGGCAGTTTGAATAAGTTTGCGAATTTGTTGGTATGCAGGTGTAGCTTTATCCTTAGGAACAGAATTGTAATGAGATTGTCTGTTTTAAATAGTTGTCAGTCTGGAGTGGAAATAACAGTCCGGTAAACTAAATCTTGATACTGTGGGAGGTACATGCAACAGCTTCCAGGAACTTCTGTCTAGTTTCATTTTGAACATACTGCCCCTTGTGTCTTAACTCTTATAAAAAATGAAATGCAGAAAGAGGAGAATTTCTCACTGCTTTGGTTCCTTATTTCAACAGAAACAGTTCATTAATGCTGAGTTTAAAACAATGCATTAAGGGCAATACTGTTTTAGGTTTATGTTAATTTCTATAAATTCTAGAGTTTTCTACAATCAGCAATACTGTGATCTGAAATTAATCATATTCTTTGTCTATTTGGTAGTAAGTATTACTGGCAATTTCTAATAGCAGTTAATTACACATTTCTGTCCTGTAGTATTTGTTTTACTCATAGGTGTTATACTTGATAAAACATTAGATTCCAAATTAAAGACTCTTTAAAAAGTAAAGCAAAGAATAATAAAATCTGAAAGCATGGCTATGTAACTCTCATAGCATCTTATGCAGTACAGAATTTTGAAGACATTGCTGTGCCTGGGTCTTCCTGTATTTTTTGAAGGAAATGTAAAATCACCAGACCGGTAGTTACACCGGTCAGATCCCACCCCTGTGTATAGCTATCAATTATTAAACACATTTATTTTCACAGTGCTACAAATATCCACAAGGCAGTAAATATGAATTAGAGTATTCTTATTAGCCACAATTTATTTTTAGGATTAATCTCTGTAAAATACTTTCACATAACAAAATCTTTAATTTTTCTTCAAAATTGCATCATTAGATTGAAAAGGACTGTTGACTTATCAGAACTGTGTTTACACAACTATTTTGGACAAACTGCACCATACCTGAATTACTCTGGCTGAAACTATTTTTAGTTTTAAGTTTAAGGCTTCATATTTTTTCAAAACGCATTTTGAGATCACTTAACGATTTCACAGGGTTGTTGTCTGCAGGCTTTTTTAGAAGGTGTAATAGAAGTAGAATTTTAATCTGCTATTCTTCTATTTTTCATAACCTTCATACAGACCTCCAATCCATCAGCCATTCCACCACTGCTACCTTCTTTTAGATGGTATGACTCGGGAAAAAGTAGCAAAATCTATTTCTGCCAATAAAGAAGTATTTGTAACTCAGGGTTAAAATGAGGGGTGCTTGGTGCTCTCGGAGCAATTAATTCATGGAACAACTTGCCTCCAGAAGTTGTGAATGCTCCAACACTGGAAGTTTTTAAAAAGATGTTGGATAACCATTTGTCTGAAGTGTGGTGTAGGGTTTCCTGCCTAGGAGGGGGTTGGAGTAGAAGATCTCCAAGGTCCCTTCAAACTCTGTTATTCTATTCTATTCTTGCAGACATTTCATTACCCAAACTAGGTAACATCATCAGTGCTAGACTAGCACTATTGATGTTACTTGGTTTGGGTATTAAAATGTCTGCAAGAAAACAACCAAGCTCAGAGAGCACCAAGGACCCCTCAAATCTTTTATGGAAAAGGAACATCTTCTGCATGACTTTAAAGTAAGCTGTAAGAACAAGTATAAAGTACTAGTTTCTCCATTTTAACATAATCGTACCAAAATATTTCACCATTCAAATTGACAAGTAAACTGTTGTATTAGCTAACAAATTTAAGCAGAGCAAAAGTTATGAGCAAGATTGGAAAATAGAGCTGTTATAATCCCAAACCAATTATAGCTTTGTACTGTTAAATGTAGTGATACTGAATATAGTTGGCTATTTTTAATTTCTCATTAAAGCTTTAGTTCATTTATGTATTAAAGCAACTAGTACTGATTTTGAAAACTTAGGAAAATATAAAGTTAGAACAGAAAAGCAAAGTCTCCAGTCCTCTCCTGCTGCTGTACTTTGGTTGATAATGGCTCTAAGCCACTATAGGTAGTTCTTAATTTACAAGCACAGTTGGGACCTAAGGTTTGTAAAATCAGGTGTGATGTGGTTTTATGACTTGGTTGCTGCTGTCATTAAGCAAATCCAGCTTCCTCCATTTATTTGCTTGTTGGCAGCTCCCTAGGAATGTGATAAATGGTGAACACATGACCCCCGAGACATTGAAACTGTGGTAAATACATGCTGGTTGCCAAGCATCCACGTTTTGATCATATGACTGCAAGGACACTTGACAGTTATAAGTGTGAGGAGGACTGGTCAAATGTCACATATTTCAGTACATTATAACTTCAAATGGTTAAATGTCCAATCATAGGTCAAAGACTACCTATAGTTACGTGAATAGGTATGTTCTTGATTTGAGCTTATTCTTCCTCTTTAACTTGCCTTTCAAAATGAATGAGATCCTAAAATCTAAGAGGACTAAATTGTAGGAATGAGAACAGATTCAGCAGATGCTACAAGCAGAATCCCAGAGGTGTTCACTTCAGTGTAATTCCCATTGTTTTCAGTGAGACTGAATTCCTAATGAGTATATTTAGGATTGTAGTTTAAAAATCTGTTTACAAATCTATATACTGTAGTTTTTATTAAAGCTTTTAAACATAAACATACATCTTAACAATTATAAAGTGTGGGGGGGGGAAGAAAAATAGTAAAGTAATAAAAGTATAAGAAAAAAATAGAAAAGAAAGAAAATGCAACAGGT